CTTTTTTCCATAACAATAGTCTATTCTAGTCTTAGAAAATATTATAAAAATTAATGCCAACTCAAAATTTTTTTTATTAATTATGAAAACACATGCAATGAAGTGATTTTAATTTTTATTTCTCCAAAGAGGAAGCAAAATACGAAAAAAATTCAAGAGAGAAAAAGTAATGTCTTTAGTTGCTTAATGCGAGAAAAATTATAAAAGTTTTCAAAAATTAGTGGCGCACATTCTTTTTTTGTCAAAAGTATTAAGGTGCCCCACGGGACGCCTCTGGACATAACAATTTTAATCTAATTACGAGTAAATTGGCCCCTTTCTACCATAAATAACACTGCCAAATTTCAACGAAATTGGCTAAAGGATTTTAATTGCCAGTGTTGCGAGAAACAACAACTCCGAGGGCTGTATGCCCCTACCGGCATTGAATTATACTCGCAACACCTAGGATCGTTCGTCCCTTCGTCCCACCAGGTGCAGACCGGTTTCGGACTTATTATTCCTCATCAGTGTGTCGTAGGTGAGACAACCGACGAACGATCCAGCTGTTCTGCGTCGTATCATCACGACAAGGAAATATATTGTACGCGGGAGCGCAAATGGCTCCATCTGTCGTGCTGACTCCCAACTGTGTCAGTCATTTGAATGCAGTAGAAAGCGATCTGCTATATTGCAGGTACTTTGTTGCACGACTGCCACCCACAGAGGGCGAAACACAACGTTTTAATGGCTCCATTTGCACTCCCGCGTACAATGTATTTCCTTATCGGAGTAGTTGTTTCTTGCAACACTGGCAATTAAAACATTGTGTTTCGCCCTCTGTGGGTGGCAGTCGTACAAAAAAGTACCTGCAATATAGCAGGTCGCTTCCTACTGTAGCCGTTTGAATGGCACAGTTGGGAGTCGGCACGACAGATGGAGCCATTTGCGCTCCCGCGTACAGTGGCTAAAGGATTATTAAGATTTTTACGAATAAAACAATTTTTTTAAAAAAGTTTGACACCCTGTACTTTTCGTCTTAGAATCACTCAAAGAATCACCCCGTGAAGTTTGCCACGTACTTAAATAACAACATCCTGTATAATTAGCATTTTTGCTGTTATAAAAATTCTTTTAATTCTTTTTTTCAGGAGGATTTCTGCAGGAAGCTGTACAGACAGAAGGAGCAGCATTCGAAGATGTATGTTCCCAGTGCCTAGACGTTGAATAGATCGTCTGGGGCTGGGAGTATATTTTTGATGTTGCTTCGATCGACGTGGCTACAAGGAAACGCAGCGCACAAATTCGCACGAAGAAATCAAATTCATTTTTCCCTGACGAAAATACATTTTTCTCCATCTTTTGTTACAGAACGGCGAGCACTTTTTTGTTAAGTAAAAATAAAAGTTTAAATTAAATTTTAAGGAAAAGGTTACATTTTTTTCTACCTTTTTTCTCTACCGAATTTTTTGCTCCATTTTTTGCCATAAAAAATTTCCCCTCCGCCCTCCCAACGAATTTTTTGCTCCATTTTTTGCCATAAAAAATTTCCCCTCCGCCCTCCCCCCGATTTTTTTGCTCCATTTTTTATCGATTTTTAACAAAAAATAAAAATACAAATTTCAATTAAATTTTAAGGAAAATAGCGACGATTTTTTGTTAAATTTTTTGCTCCATTTTTTGTTATAAAAAATTTCCCCTCCGCCCTCCCGCCGAATTTTTTGCTCCATTTTTTGCCATAAAAAATTTCCCCTCCGCCCTCCCGCCCATTTTTTTGCTCCATTTTTTGCCATAAAAAATTGTGGTTTTTTTTTGGAGTTTTTTTTGCATTGTTGCAAGATATAATACATAAATTAATTTTTTCGGTGAAGTACCCTGTACTTATATTATTACTTAAATAAATAAGTAATTGTAAGAAAGGGAACATCCAAATGGATATATCCATTTCTTACAATTACAATTTACAACAATATAGCGTTCGATTCGACGGATCTATCTCTAATTATAACAGAGATCCAAGAAAGTGTGTCATAAACAGATGTTAGAAAAAAAACTATTATTAGTTGTTAGGCAACCAAGTCGTATCTAATCATATTCTTTCTTCTTCAATTCGTTTAATATTTCATAAACCATACAATCCGAACGATATTTGTTAAGATGGAATTCCAAGAAGACTTGCAAAGTTATTACTTTGCCATCGTAACTGCAAAAAACAGTATGCACTGCTAGCTGCTACGGTGAATGCCACGCCGCCAATGTCTTTCTACCTCGGGTTTCCAATGCTGAGGTCTTCTTCTCTCAACAAATATCGCACTGACTTGTATATATTTTACTTTATTTTAAAATTTCAAACAAATTGAAAATTTAATCCAAATAATTCCAACAAATGAATGATAGGTACGCAAAAGGTATATAAACTCGTAGACAGCTGATGACATTGCTCGAAACAATTACTCCACGGGCTTTTTCTGAATTTGTTTAAATTAAGTAAATACCATTAAAATACATATAAAAGCATAATATGGTCTTATTACATCTTCAGTAAAACTTTAAATTTTATTTAAAAGATCTACTAATTAGGCAATTTGTCAACAACTGAAATTTATAGCCGATCGCCCAGTGCGGCTGTGTTTGTGCGGCGTTTGCCCGCGCGCGCATTCTTCAACTGGTCTGGTCGTATACGTTTCAACCATCTCCACGTTTAATTGGACCAGATTGTATATGGGTATGGCTAAATAAATATGGGAACAAGGTTTTCAAATATTTCAATATCGAGGTGCTGCGTTGCGACCGAACCTGGTACATGCCTAGCTTCAATTAAGATCGGAAAGACTATACTAGGATTTTTTTTGACTTTTTTTCGGGCGATGAATCTCCACGAGCGAAGTAGGACGTGTTCTTTGAAACACCCTGTATTTAGGCCCTATGCCCTATCCATTCATGAATCAATTTTATTGAATTTTTATTTGTTACACATATCTCGCATGGTACATCTGTCCCTGATTTATATTTTAAATTGCCAATATTCTCAAAATGATACTCTTCTACCAGTACACCTGAAAGGTCAAATAAATTTCGGCAACTAAGAAAGGTTTTCTGTACGATTGAATTATTTACTAGAAACGACAATAGGGCAAAAACTTTAATGAAAATTTCATGTATGCTTTTTCTATACAAGTAGGTAGTATTCTACCAACAGAATCTTGGTCACTGATCCGTTGAATTAACCCTTTCATCAAAATCAAATTTCGCTCGATAATTGAATTGTGATTGATTAATGTTAAAATTTTCATCGATGAACCACACGATTTGTTTATAATGTACATTTAATGATTTATTTCACCACAGTTCAACCGCTGCGCTGTGTACTTTGTCGTAGTGCCGAATGTTTTTGTTCGATGTAGCAAAAGCACTGCTGTGGAAAATTTGGAAATTGGATTCGGTGGCAGTTCATATCGCCTATGAAGTAATAGAAACGGATAAATTGATTAAATTACGGGTATACAGGGTGTGCGAGGGCGAATGGGTTGCACTTCAAGGGAGCTTCTTTGTAAGTCTTGAGGTCAAACAAAATCGACGAATTATTAGCACATAGTGATGTTAGCATCTAATGCTAAATTATATATACCAATATATGTATTATATATAAATAGTGATAAACTAGACGAGAATTTTGTAATAATAAACCATTTTTAATAATTAAGATCGTTGACCCCACAAAATAGTGCATAAAATTAATAATGAAAATTATTTAAACTTATTGAGAATATACCCTATAAAAAAGATGAATGTTTGTCGCCGTAGACAGCTTGCCGTCCGGTTTTTTCAATTCCCTTTAAATGTATTTTCTTTTTGCGAAAAAACTCTTGATCTTGTCAGTACAGTAATAATAAATTAAGGGATATATGGTAAAATATGGAGTTAGAAGTAGTTAAATGTATTAATTAATTAACTGCACATCTCTATGTACAGCATATAAGCAAAGCCAGCCGAGTTATCGATAAAGTCAGGAGTTCCAAAAATATTTGTTCATATTATTGTGGTAAGTTAATGTACTTATTTTCTTCGGTTGAAATTTTAAATTTATTATAGGTTTGAAAATGCTCTGTAAATTTCTATTATTGGAATTCATGTTGGAAGTTTATTTGGTACAAGTATCTCATGCGAGCAGAAACAAATCATTGAGAAGAGATGTAATTCATCAGCATATTAAATATACCCACGGAAAGTATGAATTGGTGCACTAAATTAAATTAATACAGGGAAAGTCAACAAAGCTCCAGTGGAGTGGGTACATTAAATTTATATGTAACCGGGAGAACCCACCGGAATTGCACAAATTAATGTTAATGCATATACGTTTGCACGGTGCTTACACAGTGCTTTTTTTTTAATTACGGAATAACAGTGAAATTGCTACCGAATGCACGTATAAATGCATCTACTTAAGCTCGGCTAATGTTAAAACTGACTGCAGTTATACAGCTGTCTCAAGAAAATCTATAAATATTAAAACGAAATGGCAGAAAATATTTTTTGATAAAAAATTATGAGATGTGGATACAAAAATGAAATATAAAACTCTTCGAAAATTGTTAAAAAATATGTATCCACACGTCACTCGAAAAGTTGTTAATTAAGTATTTTCATCAAGAAAAGTTTAATTCTTATGTGAGGTTACAACAATGATTCAAAATTAAAAGTAAAATTGTAGCAACATTCGTCACATCCGATAATCTGCTAATCGCATTTTACCTTGATTCACCATAAATTAAAATAATATCCACAGGCCATTTTGAACAGCTGCAATACTGATGAAAACAGTAAACCACAGTAATAGGAGCACCATAAAAACCACAGTAACAATTAATAAATAGGCACTTTTTAAATTAGATCAGCTGAAGCTACCTGAAGGGTCGCAATGCATTTTTCGTATGTATTTTTACAGCATTTTTACTATCACAGTTAGTAACTAATTTACAGCGTTATAGCTAATGTAATTTTGTGTAACAAAATCTCACCTTGTACCCGAGATAGGCCAACAGCAGCGCCTCCGTGAGGCTAATGATGGCCAGCACGACTTGCACCACCCACAGCTCAAGGGGGCGGTTCACCCACAGAATCGCGTCCCAGTTGATGATGGGGTTTTCCTGGAACTTCTCCTCGGTGAGATTGGCGGAGGCCATGAACTCCGTCTTGTTGCCTATTGGACACCCATAACTGAAAAAATATCACGGGTGTCGGTTACCATTGAACATACAGGGTGTCCCGAAATTCATGCAACAAAATTTGGTCACAGATTCTTAAGACAAATTTAGGGGACCCGTATTTTTTATTTTTGCCAAGTGGCCCCTTCTTTCGGAGTTACATCCCCCTCAAGTCTGCCCCTAAGAATCATCTTTTTTTATATCTCAGAACCCTGTTGTACCAGAATCACTAAATTTGGTACACAGGAGTTTTATGACATGTGGAATCTGATGGTGCTACGTTTTTTAGCGGGGAACCCCCTTAAGACAATTTTTCGTGGGCCCCCTTGTCTGGAGCCAAAAAAATTAGGTCGCATATTTAAATTTCTTAAAAATTATTAATTCGCTAGAAAGCCATTAAATTTAAAAACTATTTGTTTCTTTATACTTTTTTCGTAAAACGCAATGTTTTCGAGAAAAATGTTAAATTGTGATCGAATGCATATCATGATTCGCGATTTTCCCCAAAAACATTGCGTTTTACGAAACAAATATCAAGGGACAAAAGTTTCTAAATTCAATGGCTTTCGAGCTAACTAATAATTTTTAAAAAAATCAAATTTGCGACCAAATTTTTTTGGTTCCAAAGACAAGGGGACCCACGAAAAAGTGTCTTAAGGGGGTTTCTCGCCAAAAAGCGTAGCACCATCAGATTCCACATATCATAAAACCCCTGTGTACCAAATTTAGTGTTTCTCGTACAACATGGTTTTGAGATATAAAAAAGATTTCTTATGGACATATATCAGGGGGCTGTAACTCCGAAAGAGGGGGCCAGTTGGTAAAAAGAAAAAATACGGCTCCCCTAAATTTGTCTTAAAAATTTATGACCAAACTTTGTTGCATGAATCTCGGGACACCTTGTATAACATCATTCACTGTTAATTTAAGCTTTGCTGTATTTTATGCGATCGAGTTTTGCGTAAGATGAAACTTGAAGAAGAGATTTACGTTGGTGGCCAGCCTAATGTCCCGATTTGCTGCTACTAAACTTTTTTGTAATATATCAATACACAACTCGAAAATTTACAGACAGCGTAGGATAAAAAAAATTAAGTTATATATTCATATCGCCTGGTGGTGCCCTGACATTTTCTGTCTGAAACATATACTCCTGTTTTGATGCCTATGGGCAGATTCTTTCTAATTGGCGCTTTTTTGTATTTCGAGTATTTTCGAGATTTCTTCTAAATGAAAATATCAAACATTATTAGAACGAATAAAATTTATCTGATAATTTGCAAATTTCAATAATGTTATGCAAAAGAACTACTGTGAAAATGTGTGTAAATTGTTACATAATTTGCCTCATTCTGCAAAATAACTGAAGATGTATGTACAGATTCATTTTGAAGAAAAACATTACCCTTTGCAAAATTTAATTATAATCGGTAGTTTTTAATAAAAACGCCGATCACTCATACATTTTAAAGTCAGTTTCTTTGATAGGTATTGAATTTTCGAAACCAAGAGGGATACACTAACCTTTGGATAGGACATAGTTAATACGATGTGAAACGTCGCCTTGCTGTTAAAAATGTTGTCACCGCCGTTCTTGGTGGTGAAAATTCGAAATATTTGGAATTATTCAATTTTCGTGGCTGAAAACATACATAGGTATTGAATCTTCGAAACCGAGAGAGTTGCACTAACCAAATTGGAACAGGACATAGCTACTATAATGCGAAACATCGCCTTACTGTTAAAAATGTTGTCACCGCCATTTTTGGTTTCACTATGCGTTTATTACGTTAAAAACAAAAAAAAAATAATAGGAATACGTGTTACTCATTTGGCCAATCAATAGCTTTCATGTATAATTGGGAAAACAATTTAATATAATAATGAAACATTTTTAGCTGTTAAAAGCGTATTATGTTTACGGAAGCGTGCATGCATTTTAATTAACTTCAAACAGTTTACACTACACAAAATAGAACAAACATTTTAAAATTTAATAGATAATATATGTCTATTATATGGAAAATCGGAACCATTTGTAGGTAATAGTATTTTTTTGTGGAGAAGATTTTTAGCGTCAACGAATAAATTGTATGTGTAGCCCATTATAGTGGCGAAATTTCATTTTTTTTAAATTAGTTTTGGATCAAGCACGTTTTGAATAAATCGACTAAACTTGAGTCTATAAAATTTTAACTACCACATAAATAATAAAAATGTCACCAACTAATCGACATTGCAGACTAGTTCCCTAGATTTTCATTGTTTATTTCCATTTAAAAGAACATATATCTCGCAGTTCAGTTTACGAATCCAGTTAATACCGAGATTACTTGCCACGGATGTTCCCCGATCCCATCCTCAAGGATACTGTAACATCACGAGTTCAACTCCGTTGAGGATCGCGTTCATTTGTTTATCAAAACTCCTGGATATTATGTTATCTTAATACCTTTCCAACTACATCCTAGCCTTCAGTTCTAAGGAGAAAGCTCCGAGTAAGACAAGCAACCATTATGCAAATGGGCATAATTTAGTTGTACTTGACTAAATATTTGTTCATAAAATAGCTGAGAGCTAGGTCTTAGAGGCCAGGAGAAAGACTTCCCAGAGCCCTGATAATGCAGTTTTCTCTAAAAATAAACAAACGAGTTTATAAACTGCGCTTTGGAATATGAGGGAAATAATGAACATTTCCTTATCCATTTTATTATTTTTTTAGTACCGGAAAGAGAAGCACAAAACGTATAAAGTCTTGTAGTTGCACAAACATTATTTTAACATATAATTTTTTTTGTTGACCTTAGTCTATAATTAATTGAAGATGTTTCGATAACCGATTACATCATACAGGTATCTACAAAGGGCCTAATCAGGTCAACTGTTCGACAACTAAATTAGTCAAGGTACGCCGTCATCGATCGAAAAGCAATTAACCTTAGTGGAATGCGGTGTGATTGCTGCTGAAATAGGAACTGCCTGAGCCATTCAAAAAAACACGGGTAGACAGAAACAAATCGATCCTCCAGGTCTATTTTCATCCCTCTTTCGTTTATTACTCATATAATACATAATAATACATACAGGGATCGTATCAATTAAGTGATTAAACATGGGAAAATGCGGTGCATGATATACCAACAAGTTGCATATATTTTTCTGTCGATTATGTCTAGATATGTGACACACGTGCAGTAATTGTAAAAGGTTCAAAGGTCAAGGGTTCAGGAAATTAGTGTGCTTGACATTTGACTTAAAATTGTCCTTAAGAATACGACCTTAAGCTATGACCATCGAGTCACTGGATATCCTGTACAGAAAGGCCGCCATGGTGGGCAAAACAATAAAACCGTATAGTCTAAAGTTGAAAGGACGTGATGTCAAGAAGTCATGAACGGTGGCAGAATCTTACGTAAGATTCAGTGCACGATAAAATTACGATATAAAGATCTGATAAAATCCCTCATTTCATGTTTATACTTGATGTTTATTCAACAATAATATCTTTTTATTTTAACTTCTGAGATTCAACATTCATGTAAAGCGATTAGTTACTAACATTAAAGTATTCTAGATAAACTGAATACTCTTTAAATGTTGTATTAAAGTGATATGGAACCTTTTTCATCACAGTCTTCAGTTCTAAATAAAAACATTTGTTACACAAACTCATAAAAACCAGTTTTTCAATTGCAAATTATGTAAAAAAAACTGTCACTTTTAACAGAATACAGAGCCTTATGTAAATCCAAGGGAGTTACACCCAAGTAAATAATAAAATAAGTAATAACGACGCGAGATTAGCTCTGATCCCCTTAAATATGGCCTTCTAGTGGGGCTTATTATATTTCATTATTTGATAGGTGATATTGCCTCGGCAGACTTCATAGCTTATCGAAGGTTAGGAGCAACCGATCCGACGTTAACGAACCTCCAGGGGATTTTTAATGGTCCACGGGCCGAGCTTACGTCACTATCTACCTATTCCGACGAAATTTAATGCACCTCCATGCATAATTAAGGCCTCTGGCCGCGTCAGTCGGTCTTGGGGGCGATGTAACTTTAGTAACAACTGCGAAAAGCGGTGTTTTTCGGGAAGAGGTTTGGGGGAGGGTCATTCAAACGGCGTGGGGTGTGAGAAAATAAAAACAGATGTATTGGTAAAAGCAGTTCACCCTTTTAAGGGTATTGTGACGGCAATATCGTATTTAAGATACTTAAAAAAAAATACATTTCAACTAAAAGTAACGATTAAGGCGTTAAATTTTGAATATTAACAAAATCGTTAGTCGAAATTTATTTATAAATATTATGCTTGTATACAGGGTGATTCAGTCATAATAAGCAGACGGATAAGCAATTAAAAAAATTTTAAAATGCATATATACACTGAAAAAAAATATTTTCAAATCATTGTTTAAACATGTTGTTGTTTAGAGTGAATCTTGACCTACCCTATTATTCGGTCACTAACCTAGTTTTTATTGCGTTTTTAATACGTAGTGAACAACAAAGAGTAAAGACATCTACTTAACTAGACACATGAACGAATAAGATATTTTCTGTTAATAAAAACAGGTACATAATTGTTTTCGAATATTTTTAATATTGCTAATGTTTTCACTATGTTTTAATAATTGACTTTCAGTATTATGTTAATTATTCAGGTTGTAGTACGTATAACTTATTGTGTGACTTACTGCTTTTCAAAGAGTACTATGGCACCCACCTATGTAAAATGCCAGTCATTCTGTATACTAGATTATAATCGCTTTAGAGAATCAGAATTTAATTTTGTAAAATTTAACTTGATCCCGATATTTAATGTACAATGTGGAAATCTCCAAATTATTTTCGTTTTATCTTTATGAACTCTTAAAATAAAGCACATGTCACACAGGTATTAAAATAATAATAGTGTTTGTATCTACATATATTCTCATCTCGGGCAATTTTAGTCGGTTTTTCCCCCATCTTTATCGACGATAAAGTTTCTTTTACGTCTCATTACTGTTTAAATTTACTAGTTTATAAAAAAATCCAGCACACTAAAACCTTATAGAAAAATCTACCAACCGTCAAACAATGAATCACGACGTTTCGGTTACACTAAGTCGCCCTCAGAGCACTATAAATAAATTACCACCAATTTCAATAAAAAAATAATGTTAAAACCATTATTAAAGCAAGAGATAGTCGAGTTTATTTCGAAATTAAACTTTTTAGTAATCGAAATATGCCATTCGATGGAAAAATATTTGTTTACTCACCATTTTGCGTTCATGGGATCCACGTCCGTGATGACTCGAATTATATACAGGATGCATGTGAGCAGTTTAAAAAATAAGTTAGCTATTCGTATCCTAAGACCTGGAACAAAGAAAGTACGTTTTAGCTAAAAAAAAAATTATGGCTAGCTGCATACAATTAAAATAATACAAAAAAATTAAAGGGTCAAAAGAATTTCCGAAATTTTTCTGTGATTTTTGACAGGTTGTATTTAGGTGAAAAATGGTCGTATCGGGAATTAAAACAAAGCATTTTGAAGCTCTAAGATTCTAGTTTTTAGATCTTACGGTCGAAATTTTTTTTGTCTTAGAATTCCAGGATAACCGTAGCTCCTAAAAAATTTCGACCAAAAGATCTAAAAACTAGAATCTTTGAGCTTCAAATTGCTCTTTTTTTAATTCTCGATACGACCATTTTTCACCTAAATACAGTCTGTCAAAAATCACGGAAAAATTACGGAAATTCCCTTTAATTTTTTGCATTAGTTTATAATAAGCCAGACCTTCTTGCACAAATTTTAGGCCTCAACGAGAGTATTTCCGGTTAAAATGCCACTACAGAGAAAAATAATGAAATTAAGCGACACAATGTAAGCGACTCAAACAAACAAGAAGCAACAAATCTGTTGTCGCGCCCCAATCCGAAATTCTTGTTCAAACCCGTGTTCCATTAAACCCCACTATTAGAATTAACCCGACAGGCGATTAAGTGGTTAGCCCTCATACGAGCGTCACAATAGTTTGGATCTGACAGCCTGAAAGGGATCAGCACTGGTCCTGAATTGACCTTTTTGCGAGGGTACGTTGTAAAAAGCGGTCATAAGGGTTATTAACGATCCAAAAATAAAATGTAATCTATAATTCCATAAAAACGCAATGCAATATCAAAGCTCCAGCCTTGCTTTCGTAGCAATTTCAATTTATGATGGACCATGTTTGGAGCGGAAATCATAAACATAATTTGAAATTTATTGAACGATTGAATACGCCATTGATTTGATCCCAGCTTTGGAGACAAGGTATAAATCCGCATAACAAATTGGAATCACATAGATACGAACTGAAATATATTAATTAATATAAAGCACTGTTGACTTATAAATTTTCAGTTCAATTCCCTTTGATCCCCACTCAAATAAATGGCAATTAGCAGATATAAGTAATCTCAGTTTACTAGAATTGTCACTTTTGTTATTTGTTGTGCAGTGCCTCCAACAAATGGCACTAGTTCAACGGGGTAAAACAAGAAACATAAAGAATAGTGTGAGTATGAATTCCATTCATGTTAATCACATTTATTTTGTCGAGCCAAAGTGTTGCTAACGTTACACATTCGCAAGCGACCAGGTGGAAAACAGGTATTTTAATAGAAAGAAAAGGTAAGGTTCCCTGTACAGGTGCATTACTTTGAATTAAACACTTTAAAAACTTTAATTAACTTTAATTAAACCCAAATCTAAACTTTAATCAAACTTGCAGTCACCCTCGTTTAATTTTCAATACAGATTAGATCTTTGTGGACCTTATTTTAATTAAAACATCTGGGTGAAATTTAATATTGATTCCACAGTTGCGTTAATTACTTTACAGTACAGGGACCAGCAAATTGTCAACGCATAGCCTTTAATAACTTGGATTAGGGCGAGGTTCTTATAATTTAGAATAAAGGAAATGAAAAATTATGATATCAAACATTGTATTGTGCTGTCGAGGAAACTCAGGGCAGTAAAATATTAACAAGAACCAAAAAGCCGTGTGTCATTTTAGTTATCTGCCCTCATCTAGGTGACACAAGTAACGAGCATCGGCTTCTTGCACCAGCAGAAATTATGTGACTGCATTTTTAATATAACTTTTAATGTTGTGTTTAAAGAGTTTTAAGAAAAAAAAATGGTAAAGCGTGCGAAGCAAAACTAATAAAAAAATAGTAGAAATACTTACTAGACCTTTGATTCTTAATAAAGTACAGTTGCAGTCGTTCCTTAAAGGTATTTTCATTGACGTAGTACTCGACTCGCACCCTGCAACAGAAAATAATGGAATAAGACGCTGATTCCACTCGGAAGAAGTTCGTGGATGTTACAAGTAACTTTTACGATATAACTTGGGCAGAAGGGCCAATATGATATTGGCGCGCGGAGACACTTCGGGGCCATAAAGATAAAAGGCACGCAGCAACGTTGTTACCGTTGCTGTTGCTTATATAAGAATGATAAAAATGAAATTGTACGCTCTCTGCGAGGCTCTCGCGTTGTTATACCGATAGAATTGGGGAAGAGCAACGTGAGAACTCGAAAGATTGAATACACGACTAACTTCAATATTGAAAATGTTGAAAATATTACGGATTGGAAGATATTTAGTGATATGAGATATTTCTATCCGTTGGTGTTTATGGTGGTGTATTGTAGACAATTTAATTTGTTGCTTTTTAATAAATAATGCGTACGCCTATGTCTCGCGGCTCAATTCTGACAGCTCTACTTATAATAAAAAACTTTGTGTCTCTGGTATATTTACATAGCATTCCATCAACCTTATTTGTATGCCTTTTTGTTTCAATAAAAATAGTAATAGTTTTAAAAAAATTTATAGACAAAAGGCCAAAAAAGACAAGGAATGAAATGATGTGTGAACATTTTTCTAAATCTTTCAGGATACCACTTGATTTGCTACAACATACGACATTGTCTGCTTGCCCCAGGAACATAATGTAGCAGTAGGTACAGGGTAGACTCGATAGTATGGGCCTACTGTGAGGATATAAAAAAATTAAATAAAATTTGGGACATGTGGTGTAATTTTTTTTTTCAGAAACAACCTTTTCTGTTAAAAAGCTAAGCTCTCTTTTTTTTCTAATAAACTTTTATTAGACAAATTTTTCTGTATTACTTCCCGTTTAAAAGTTATAAACAATATCGTCCTAAACAGTCTCAAAAGTAGTTGTTGGAAAATAATTGAATGTTTGTTGTTTAAAAAAATGCATAAATGTCATTAAGAATAAATAAAAGGATTATACTCGATAATTCTTTAATACAGTTAAAACAAAAGGTGATAATAATAACAAATTAAACTTAAAAAATTAAGCAAACGCTTTCATACTACACTCCACTCATTTCAAGACACATATCCAATCTTCGCCTGACTTCTTTGTGGGCTGCGGTTATTAACATTTCTCCGTTTAACTCATTACACGCGTTTGTGATTTTTTTATTTCAAATGCTTCCGCGAAGGTGTTTTGTTAAACGTTATTTTTTAAAACCCCCTCATAAAAAAAATCGAGGGGTATTAGATCTAATGACTTTCCGGGCTACTGAATAGGTTCATTAAGCCCAATCCATTTTTCTGGAAGAGTGTTATCTAATTAAATACCTATCGATGATGCCGAACCATACATTTACTCCAAAATGGCCTTGGTTTTGGACTGGATTTACAATGTGGGGATTTTCAATGGACAAGTAGTATTCGTTGCGCCTGTTTGGCAAACCATTACTGACAAATCGACTTTCGTCCGTCCACAGAAGTGCCGAAAAAGGTTCTGATTTAGTTTCTACATTTACTACAATTTGTTTCTTACCCTACGGTCAATTATTTGATTTTTCCATTCAGAAAGTGCATCTTCATTTCGTCGCAAGGTCGCCTCCAATCTTGTAAAGGTTCTATGATCAGGAATGAGGCGCTCTGGATACCTTTCTCGATATAATGCTATAGCTCTTCTTGAATTTTTTTGGGACGTAGTAAATTAGCCACATATCAACATTTTCTGAATGAGAAAACATTTTGTAAGCACAAAAGTTATACGTTTGACGTTGGTATTGACTAATGACAAGTATTTTGTGACATTTGTGCACTTCCGAACAACGAACATTCAATTATTTTCTAACGAATGATTTTTAGGTGGTATTGTCTTTTGAGACTCTTTAGAGCGATATTGTTTATAACTTTTAAAGGGGAAGTAATACAGAAAAATTTGTCTAATAAAAGTTTATTAGAAAGAAGAGAGCTCTTTAACAGGGAAAAAATGGTATGTTTCTGGAAAATCCCAAATATTTTCGATTGAAAATGGAGCTTACCTCATTCCATTTAACATCACGTGTCCTAAATTTTATTTAAATACTTTAGGCTCATACTATCGGGTTTGAGACACGCTGTACATCCTGCTGCTGCAATATACAAAGGAAATTTAATTTCTTATTCACATTTTGTTTTCGGCACTTTACAAAACGTGCTCCATCTTAAGACAACGCACGCTTTCGCTGCTCCCGCCGCTCTAAAACTTTAAAAGCCCAATCATGATGATAAATCGTACCGAATTTCTCACGGCTTATCTTCAAAGGTACATCCTGGCGTAGATGAAAAATTCAGAGGCGAGGAACCAAGCGCCGAAACACACATAATTTACATCCACATCTCGCTTCCCGGTATAAATCAAATTTGTAGCTGGTGCTAGTTTTAAAACCGCCGCAATTGATTAGCATAATTTATCGGTCTGTTGAGCGGCTCTAGTATGCAGATCGCGCAACTAGGAAACGGAAGTGGCCTGGAGTTGGTATAGCAGCGCAAAGAATCTTTCGTTATTTGCGCTAAAAGGATTAGAGGCATTGAAATTTGTTCAGTCTTTGGATACAACCGTTTCAAAGTACTGTATCGAGATAATTCAGTTTAATTGTAAACATTTTCCTAAATTTTCGCTTCAAACTTTAGCATCTGTAGCTGAAAATATAGTAATACCTCGATTTTTCTCAAAATTTAGAATTAGGCTCATCTTACCCCCCACTTCAAAACTTATATATGCGCTAGGTGTGCTTTTTGTTCTTAAGGGGTGAAAACCACCCCTTATTGGGAAAAGAAAAAATACACATTTAAGCGTTTTATTTAATCAAATCTTTTTTATTTATGCAGTATGAGTAATTTAATGTGCTATCTAACATGAAACTTAATTTCAAATTCAATCCGGAAAATCCTTTAAAAACCACCCCTTTGGACCCTTATTAATTAATACTTTAAATAACTAGATAGATTTCACAGGGTCCAACGACACTTAGAGTGTACGATAATTCAATACACAAAGAAATCTAAATAAAAACATTAGATAAATTTGGAACGAATACAGTGAAGATGAATTTTTCGAGACAAAACGTATGAATCTGATTCGCACTGAGGCACTACAGTATTGGGGGTCATGAAGGCTTGCAAAAAATGTAATAAAATTTACAGGGCCGTTTTTAAAAAAATGAAGTTGATGGTCCTGGAGAGACGAAACTTTACATATAAAAATTGATTATACCATTCGATAGAGGGCAAACAGTGACCATAAGAACACTTTCTTCTTTTTTTCAATATCACCTCAAACAAAGCTGAAATGAAACAAAAACGGATTTTCAAAGTTTCGTTTTTTTTTTCAAATATTTCGAAAACTAATCATGTTAGCCTTGATTTTTTAGAGACATAATGTTGATCCCCTGATTACGCAACTTTGCCCCCATTTAAGCTACTTCGTACCTCTTACCGTTTTCGAGATCCCTGTAGTAAGAGGCGAATTTGTAACAGCCTGTATATGTGTGTGTGTATTATAATATAGCACTGGTTTATTCGAATATAAACATACTAAATATATATATATACAAAAAAGATCTAAATGCTTCAAAATTCTTGTTTGACCTAAATTTTCTTAAAATTATCACCTATACATGTGTCTATTTTTTTGACGATAACTTTCTTACTTTTTAAGATTTTTAATCGCACAAGGTTCATTTTGCAGGGAAATGTAAGGGCTACGTGAACTGTTGAGTTGATCTTTTTAAGCCTTTCATTTTTAAATTTGAAGGGTTTAAAGGGCTCGAAGAGGGTGGTTATCTCATTCATATGATAACTTAAAATGGCGATATCTCGATTAATATTAATTTTAGAGGAATAAAAAAATTAAATAAAATCTTCAGCAAAAATAAAACTAAATTTTTACAGCGTATAAATCGAATTTTTTTCAAAAATTTGAAAAATTTACATTTTCAAAAATTAAGTTTTTTTTGAAATCATGTTTTGTAAGTGAGCCAAAGACCCACAGAACATATTCTTAGAACATAAATGAAGAAATCTGTAAATGGATTGCGTTCAATTTTAATTCTGTGCCAAAGGCACTGATTTGTTTATTAATTTGTTCTTAAAAAAAATGAGACTATCATGGTATTTCGATCATATTTCCGTTAATTTTGATTCTAAAGACTTTTAAAACAGCTCATTTTAAAGGTTTTTCAAAGTACTTTAAAAAAGCTTCAAATAGTTTGTTTCCTAATATTTATGGTTTTGGCGTTATTTAACGTTAACTGGTTCCAATTTAGTTTTTAGCTAACATATAATAATGTTTAAAAATCCATAATTCCGTTTATATTGCAATCAGAGAAAAATAAAATAATGCCATTAAAATTGTTTTTTATTACCTTTCTTTTTGTTCATTGCAACTTTTCCGTTAAATCCAATGGTTTCAAAATTATTTGCAAAAAACTGTCCGAAAACAAGCACTTTTTCAGTAAAAAATCAACATTTTCATTGACGAATTACTCGGAAAATATTGGATTATCCAAAAAACTTTATATAACATTTGTTACTTAAAATTGACTCCTTTATCGATTCCTGTGGTTATTTTGGGCGTAAAAATTTCCACCCCCAGGGCAAAAGCACACTTCGGCACTATATAAGTTTTGTTCCTTGAGACATTACCCACATTCAGTCAAAATTTCACGTCAATCGGTTCAGTTATAAAGAATTCGGAGGTAAAAACCCTGAGTAACTGAACTACTTGTCAAGCTTCGAGTTCAAGCTTGTCATTAAATAGAAACCCCGATAAATTCCAATGCTCATAGCATGGCCTATTATAAAAAAAAAATATATTGACGGCTATAAATAATGATTTCAATGAAATTATTAAATATAGGGAAAACTTCAATTGCGATTGATCATTCGTGTTTGTTAAGTGACTGCCACCACAATTTTAAGTTAAAAATAATGCACAGAAATGCCGCCA